AAAAAACTTTGATATCTAACCAAGTTCGAGGGCTTATCGAGCATAGTTAATAAAAGAGTTCGTGTTAAGGTCATGAACAAGCTTTAAAAAGTTGAGATAATATCTTAACGAACCTTTATATGTTAAATTTTAGACCGTTATATAAAATATTATTGAAGTACAACAAATTGAGGTCGAACAAGAGGGTGATTGTTTATCAATCCAATTTAAAAAAAACCAATCAAAATTCAAAATTCACTAAACTTTAACCCAACTTTATTGTCTCAATTATTATCAATATAATTAAACAATATCAACCAATCATTCTTACACATTACATTAATTTTAATTCACTATTCATCAACTCAAATAATTTTAATTAAGTATCACTTCAAATGATTTTTCTCCTACGTTTATATCATAACAACTTTAAATTATTTTGTTTTAAATATTATTTTAATATATCATCTAACATAACACATTTTTTTCAAAATTAACTATGGTTATGAAAAAAAAAAAACCAATTAAAAACTTGTTGGATTCATAAACAATCATCAAAACCTTTCCAAGTAAAATGTAGACGAATTGTTATTTTCACTAAAGCGTAATACTGAAACTATTATCATTATATTTTAACATTTGACGCACGCTTCTTTCAACCTATCATAATTTTGTTAGTTTCATAAAGAATAATAATAAAAGGCAAAACCAATAAACCACTTTGAACAAAAGTGTTATAGAAAATTAAAAATGAATTCTCTATGAAAAAATAATAAATTATTAAATCGAACCAACAATGGATGACTGGATTAGCACAACAAAAGCCCATTAGCAAAGATCCTGTGACAAACCAAATAAAATCCAGCCCATTAAGACACCGTAACACATGCCTGAGGCCCAAGATAAACCCTCATAGCCAGACAAAAGAGCAAGCCCAGTAAACTCATCAAAGACAATTGGTTCCCGCCATTTTCACATTGCCGCCTACCTCCATTATCGCAAATCCACAGCATCACACTTTCCACCTCCAAGCTCGAGCTAACAGCAAAAAAACACAGAGGAAAAAAGGAAGGAGAAAAAAGAGAAGAGCGGCTAAAGATGAGCACAATGAGAAACAAAGTGCAAAGGAAATTCAAAATGAGGGGTTATACCCTAAAAATCGACGCCCTATCCGAAGTCCTAGGTTTCATCGGCCGATTTCCTGACGCGGAGGACGAAGCCCTCGACCTCCTCCTGGACGAGCTTCATCATATATCACGTAAATTTGTTCTAAACAATTTTTTTGTACTTATTGTATTTTTTGTAGATAAAGATTGCATTTTTGGAATTAATCTTTGCTGGTTTTTCTTTTCTGTTTATGGTTTTCAGTGAAATCGTCGATACTGGATAAGGAGCCGGTGCAGAAAGTGGTGGGACTTTTGCTGGAAGCTGAGGCTGCTGTGGAAGAGGGTCCCACGAGCAGTGGATTTGGGTCCGGCGCATCTGCTTTGAGAATAATTGATGCTTTTGATTTCCCGAAATTCCGATACGATCCGATCAAGAAATTGTTTCACAAGTATGCAGTGACTTCTTGTTTGTGCTCATAATTTATTTTATTTTATTTTTACTCTTTTGGCTTAACTGTGACTTTCATCAATGCTAGAAAAGAGGGTGCCTTTTGGAAATGTTGAAACATCTCGCTTTAGTTTGATTTTTAACTTCATCATGGGGGAAGCAAAGCAACTTGAGAAATTTAAACTGTTATACACACCCCTCTTTTGTTTTTAAATTGTTACTATTATTATTAAACTAAAGTTTTTTTTTTTTTTTTTTTTTTTTTTTTGTTTTTTTTTAAAATACACAAATGATGTTGAATAGTGAAGGAACCAGGTTAGGAAATTTTCTTAAATGCCTCGTTTCTCTAATACACCCTGAAAAATGACCGAATATAACCGTCATTATGACCAGAAGTGGCATTTGTGCAAAGAGAAAGCAGAAAGGTGGTATTTTTGTTAATTCCCCTGCACGGGTTTGGATAAAAATTTGACTGGTGAAAGGAATTTTCCCTTCTTGATTTTGACCACTATAATGATATATCACCATTTGAGCAAAATCAGATTGATGGATGACTGTAGAAAGCAAAAAGCAGGAAGAATGAATTGATACTTCTTGTTTAAATTGAATTTCAATAAGGTAGTGAACTTGTTCGTATTATGTGCATCTTTTTGAGTACCTAACTTGGTATGTTAAGAGCATGTCTCCTTCTTACGTTGTAATGCGCTTAAATAATATGAACTAAGTATATTTATCCATATCAGTTAATGGGCTCATCAAGTCTTCTTGATGTTATTTTATAACAATCAACTTCATTAAATAATTAAGTGATCTACTTGTTTTTATAGTTGTTTTGCAATAAGCATTCGACACTTTTATTTCTTTTCGACCATCTGATATAATACACCACTCTTGCAGACACACCGGCAATCTTCCAATTCATGGTGATGCTTCTGCAAAGGTCATATTATACAGAGATAGGTTTCTTTTGTTGTCCCAAAGGCTCTCTCGTGACCCCCATTTTTCTAGGCCCGTGTTTGGTAGCAATATTTCTGAATATGGCAGCTGCCAGGTATTCCTTCTTTTTCCCCACCGAACATGATCTGCATTCGTGTCCTCACTCAATCCATAATATCCAATTTAATAAATTATTTTAGCTTATGCATCGACATATCTTCTCTTTGTCAGATATCCCAAATTCAATCTCTAGTTGGTCAGACAGGAAAGAGATGGGTGATGGGTCTCATCTCTCAGCTGGAGGATGGTCATTTCTTCTTGGAAGACTTAACAGCTTGCGTTGAAGTTGATATGTCTAATGCAATATCCTTTACTATTATTCCCTGCTTGCTTTATTTCTTATTTGTGGTGTGCTGCAACATGATTTGGAGATGGCCTCATTCCTTTGCCTGTTACGTTTTGTTTTCTCACCCATGTCAGTCTCTTATCCTACGCTAGAAACTGTTTCCAGTGAACATAAACTTCAGTAACAAGTTCATAGCAAATTACTGTTTATATCTGTGTTTTTCAATCCGTGATTGTTTGTTAAAAAATCCATATTGTCACCATATGGGCTCATGATATGATCGGGTGACATTGTTTTCAGATGTCAAATAAATGAAGCACAAATTTCTGCATTTTCTTTAACATGAATTACAGAATTACGACGGGTTTCTTTGCAGAAAACACCATTGTCTTAGCCGAAGGCGAGATGCTTCTGGATGGAATCTTTCAGGTTTGGTATTGCTTTTTGTTGAGATTTCCGACCATGAAAGGACTCGTAAGCTTAACCGCTACACATGTATTGCCAACAGAATAGGTCTTTGTAAAATACATAGGCTGTATCATTACAATGTGCAGAGCAGCACTCAAATAACTGTAGTGGCTTCTCTATGTCACTTGTTCAGCAGTGTGAATTGTGATCCTTCGTGTAGTGCTTTTGAACTTGATTCTTTCATAGTCTGATGCTCGGAATATTATATTCACTAATTTTCTCTTACTTGCTTAGGTCTGATTAACAAAGAATTAAGAACCTTTAACATGTTCTGTTAGTCTTTAATAATATTTGCTGAATCAGGTTGACCCCCTGATACACTACTTACACCGGGAAGAAGAA